CTCCGCATCACCTGAGATGGCATCATGATCGGGCTGATCACTGGCGGAGGTGTTGCTGCGGAAGCTGGGATTGCGGAGGTTGACGCTGGTAGTGCATGCTGCATACTTAGCATCTCAGCATGTAGGACTGCCAACTGCTGCCTTATTTCTGCTGCTTGTGCTGACGCTTGAGTAGCTTGTTGATTAGCTGCGAATGCTGCTGCCATTCTGTCCCTCTCTTGTTGCGCTCTTTGCAACTGTGCTTGCAGCTGTTGCAGTTCTTGCTCGAGTGTTGTGCCTGAATTTGGTTGGGCTTCCGGATCTTGAATTTCTAGATCTTGGGGTTCCGGTGGTTGACCCTGGGCATCTGCTCTGGTGTCATCCTCTGCAGGCGAGGTTGCGTAGGTGCTACGAGCGGTGCGCCTAGGCCTTCCTCTCTGACCCGTGGTCGTTGCGGCTCTGGTGGTGGTTTTTCTTTTCCCTGCCATCGTTGGTTTGCCTTGGCCAAACCACGGTGGGCGCCAATGTTGAGACTAGCGGTCTCAGACAGCGTGGAGGAGACAGAGGCCTCCGCCCGCCGAGCGTCGCCCTCAGGCGGAGGCTCGGGATAGGCACGACAGGTGGCGTGTAGGAAACTGGCATGGAAAGCTAAGGTTTCATTAATTCATCCACCATCCACCTGCACTGTTACAAGTGTTCCCTATTTATAGGGCTCAACTACTTCTTGACAGAATTTATTACAATGTCCCTCAACTGCTACAGTACATTCCTAGAATATTCCGCCACTAGTCTCTTGTTTGCGGAGCAATCCTGCCACACCGTCTTCAAGTAATGGGCCTCCATAAGTGGCCGGCCCACCGTGCCTCGGTCTTCGGCCCAGAGGCCTGGGTTCCCGACGCTAGCCTCCGTCTTCAGGGGCGCGCCGCTACCTACGCGGGTCTCCGCCGGTCCGGTCGGAGACATCATCCGTAAGTCTCCGCCCAGCCGCGCGCGGGCCATGCTGGCTCTCTCGCGCGGACCACGGGCGCCTGCGCTTAGGTACCTGCACACACTTAGGCAAGATTGTTTGTTTGATTAGTTCGGGGTAGGGCGGCCTTCGCCCTCATCGCCGGAGACGCCCGTCAGTCGAAGCGGGGCGGCGTCCGCCTGAGCGGCCGGAGATGTCTGTGCCTGGCCCGGGCGGAATCCGCGACAAGCTCGCTGAGCCTTGTGCAGCGCCCTACGAGCATAGCCAGGAAAGTTCCTTTAGTCAGCGCCAGATCTCCGCCCTAAGACGGTCGAAGACGCCTTGGTGACACCTCGCCGTCGGAGGCCTTCGCCACCCGCCGAGGCCGTGTTACAACAATCAATACCTTCTATTTCTTTCCCATTTCTCATATAAAGGTTTAGCGTAATAGCTCTAGCTCCAAGAGTTACGAAGGATCTGATGTTTTTCCTCTGTATATAAAACCATTTAATTATAGGATTGCTCAATCGAACACTGTTAATGTGGTGGCTCAGGAATTTCAACATATAAGTAACCTACTCCGTAGCTAGAGCATCTCCAAGAGTCCCCAAAAGCCTCCCAATCTAGGATTTTTCGCAAGAACAGAAAAAACCCATCTCCAAAAAATTCCTAATCCCACCACCCAATCTTTTGGCAATTGAAAAAAAACATCGAAAGCGCGGATATATCCGCGCGTTGAAGACGTGCGTATCCATCTGCCAATCTAAAGTGGAAGGGCGTGCAAAAGAATAAAGAGTAGGAAATGATTCCTAATGCAAATATACAGGATATAATGAATATATAAAAATAATTAGGATAATTAAAAATTAGTATATGATTGCTGATGTAAAATTGTCTTCTATATTTTAGGAGTGAATTATAGGAAACTGTTGAATATGGTCTTATTTATTTCTCCGAATATTTTTTGGTGAGTTGAAAAACTCTATGGTTTTGAGAAGAAATCCTTGGGAACTCAGGGAGACGCTCTAAAAAAATACATAGTTAAAGCGCTATTGTCAATTAGCCCCACCTGCTGGTAACAATAATTCCACACCCATCATGGGCCATCTTGGTAACAATAATTCCACACCGCTCATGGGTCATCTCAGTGCAGACAATCAGAGGCAGATGGTGCATCTCCGGACAAAATTCCAGGGCTTCGTGAGTCCACAGCGCCATCCAACTTGCGCAACTCAGGCCCAACTTGTGTTGCAACTTGCAACGGTAACTCGTCGTTCATTTGTCCAAGCGATCCCTAGCACATCGTCTGCTGACAGGCTTGATGGACATGAGCATCTCCATCCCCGTGAGTTCACAGTTCCAGATATATTAACAAAAACCATATATCTAAAAAAGCAAGATTGATTCACAATTTGAAACAACGAAGGGAGTATCAATGAACTAAACTTGCAGCCAGCTTGCGTCGAGTGGTTTAGTTTATTTATTTACACCGATGAAAATTGGCTTTTCTTTGAAAAGCGAACAATTTCTGTATCTGCGATTGCACACAGCCAAGTTCCGGATTGTCGTATATTAGGACATCTCTAATAGGACAAGTCAGCAAACTCTAACCACAACAATTTTTTCTTACGCGTCATTGCCAAACTACGTCTTATAAATTGTTCTGAAGACGATAAAGGTCGTTTTCTGTGTTCTCCCTCTGTAAGGTCCTGTTTGGATTCAAGAAGATAATAGTTAGCTGATAATAATTATCTTCTTGATCGAAATAGGTCTTGCTAATAGTTTTGCTAATTGTTAGCTGAGTAGTCAAGTAACAACTATTTCACTAGTTGGACCAAACTAGCTAATAGCAACTAATATTCGTTGTGGCCTATTAGCTAGATAACTATTAGCAGCTACTAGATCCAAACAGGCCACAAACACCAAGCATTTTGGCTTGTGCAATATTACTCAATCATAGAAGCTAGCTCAGTGCAGACAATCAGACCAGTTTGGCCATGTATGCACGAGTAAGAGAACCAAGAATGCAGGGCTCCCCACCTGACCCCAAAGGATAGTGTCCTATGTATACTCATAAATGATTGTGTAGTGCATTGGTAGGAAAATGTTGTTTGTGTTGAAGGTAATTGGTTTGAATCCTAAAAGACATTCATTTTTTGATTTTGTCTTTATTATTCGATTTAGGCGGACATGACCTTTGTAAGTACTTGTTTGCATGATAGTAGTATGGCTGAAGGTACTTGTTTTTCTAGCGTTTTTATAGAACCTACTACAGTCCAGATGGGCCTTTTGGGGCCGCCATTGTTGTTCGTGAGATTGGGCCACGGCCAACAAGAGATCCCAGGGGCCCTAATCCTGGGCCGACTAATCGAAACTTGAACTCGCTTTCCAAAGCTGCAAAAGGATTGGGAAGTTGCCATCTTTCACGAGCAAACAGTAATTTTTGGGCCATCACGTATGATCCAATCAATTGGATTCTCATATTCTTCGCACATTAAACTTCAATTCTACTACTACTGCGATGCGATGAACAGCTGACGCAGTCCAGTCGCAAAGAGTCTCAGGCTGGCGACTATCCCGATGTTTTTCTAAATTCAGAATTCTACTACTACAGTGCGGCACGTCGCCGTTGGTTTTATCGGCTCCGTATTTTTCAGTCATGGGCCTTTTTGTTCTTTGCTGAATGTATATACTTTTGTTGCTCCAAATAGCAATTATTTGTCAAATAAAACTATATATCTTTTTTCTTCTGGGATACAAGTGATCAACGTCATAAACTACTGGGACACTTGTGTTATAGTATTATTCTAATTCTAATCTAAAAAATTCCTTTCATTTAGAACATGTTCATTCATTTATTGGAACATTGTTCTTGTGATGTTGGAACATTTTCTCGTGAACCAAACCTTTTCATTTTCACCAAATTTTAACCTAATGGAGTATTTTTCTTCCCTTTAGAAACTTTTCTTCTAAAAAATATTCGAAGATCATAAAGAGATACAGAGGTAACTGTCACTTTATTCAATACATGTATACTGAGAATAAACAATTTAAAATGCTTTAATTAAATAGTACCCATCAGTGTTATAGTGTTTAGTTAGAGGTAGGGGAAAACAAAATAAAGAAAAATATATTCTATAATCCTAGTATTTAGCCAATAAAAAAATCCTTTACAAGATCTTGAAATTACCATGTTAATTAGAAAAAGAAAATGACAGCATCGCTCTACACATTGATAAATCACCACTAGTATTGTTATCTTAGGATTTCGATAAAAACAACTCTCCACGATAATACTCAAGGACTAAAAATCTCCATAGAGTCATTAACAGAATTAAATTAATCCTACTTTGTAGGGTTTTCTTTAAATGGAGCAAATGCGAACCTATTACACCTTCTACAACCTTCTAGAAACCAGCAGAGCTCTAGGTGTTTCAAAGAAGATGAAGCTCTAGATGAAAACCAATAGAGATCGGACATTTGAAGTCGATGTGCATCTACACTACATCAACGCAATTATAAAAAAAACAATCATGAAATTTTCAGGACCACCAAGGCACAAACACGATAAGCTAAAGGAGCCAGATCGATTTGACAAGTTTGCAACAGCTTTAGTTTTAAGAGGGTTACGGTGAGTTTGATCCGATGCCCTCATCTGCCTCAGTTACAACTCTGCAAAACTGAACATCAAAAAGGATTTAGAGCTGCCTGAAACAGATGAAAATGGCACTCCTCTCGTTCGTTCGCTCGTTCCATAAGCTTTCCACTTGGTCACCTGCTAATCAGGTGCTGGGACAGTTTGCCCCTCACCCTGACTCCATTCTCATCAGCTAACTGGCACACCTGCTGCCTGTACTTAGCGTCATGGTCGCTCGACCACGCCGGTGCCTCGTCCACTGCTGTCTCCTGAAGGTCTATGATTATGTTGTGCAGCAAGCAGCAGACATGGATTATCCGGGGCAGCTTATGCTTGTCCGGACGCCACATCTCACCCTGCAGGAACTTCCATGTGTCCTTGAACTTGGCCAGTGTCCTTGGAGCGACTGTTCTCGCTGCAGAGTGCCTACTGTTGAACTCAGCACTGGACTCTGTGAGGTCCTTCTCTTGGTAAGGTGTGAGCAGCCAGGGAAGAAGGGGGGTAGCCCGAGTCGCCAATCAAGTATTCCTCGATCTCTGATCCATCTGATACCTTCAGCTTGCTGCCATTCAGCCGCTCACCTTTCTCGCAGAGCTTGAAAAGGCCAGAGCTGTGCAAAATGCTGGACTCTTTCATGCTTCCAGGCCACCCAGTCACGATGTCTGTAAACCTTGTATCCAAATCAACAACAGCTTGCAATACCATGCTGTAATTCTTCTCCTGATCGAGCCAGACCTTGCAGTTTGGCTCAGCTGATGAAAGGCACATTGTGATGTGTGTTGTATCCACAACGCCGCAGCAGTTTGGCAGACCATGGATCTTCTCAAACTTGGACTTGATCTTCTCCATTTCGCTGGAGTCTGGCCAGCGCAAGTGGTGGCTTGCTCGCTCCTCCATGGCCTCAATGAATCTCCAAGTTATCAGCGACACGGTTGAGTGGTTCACTCCAACAGAGGATCCTACGGTCACCAGTGACCCACCAGAGTTCAGCCTCCGTAGAGCAATGGCCACTCGATCTTCCAAACACAGCATTGTGCCATCAAGAAAGGTATAGCTGCTGGACCTCACCATCATTTCATCTTTCACCAAGTTGCAGACATAGTCGAAAGCTCTTCTTGGCATTTTGAATACAGACTCGAATCTGTGTGCATCCTCGATAGAAGATAAGGTTCCTAAGGAAACATAAGACTAATTATAACTTCCATAACTACTAAGCAGTAAGCAAGAGCTCTCATGTAATGAGTTAAAAAGATGCCACAGAAATCACAAATGAATTACACTAGAGCATTCTATCTAGCATTATTAAACTTAACAGCAAGGTATTTGTCTGGTACAGACCAAACTCCAATCTACATAATTTCCATCAATGACACAGTAACCTGTGATATTTACAATCATGCCAGAGTGCACCAATTCAGAAAGTTATTGTAATCAGCAAAATAGGCATAACAAACCTTACAAGTCATAATTGCTAAGTAGTTCAATGTTGAGTAGTAAAGCACCAAAGGAAAACAGTAATATTGAAACCGCCTCAGTTATCTATGTGACTCGTATAAATAAAAAATGTTCCTTTTAAATACTTGTTTGAGGTGATACTCAGTAAAACTGGGACGATTAGCTTATGAACAATACTCCTAGTTCAGAAATAAGTTTGGGGGTTGATTGTGTTTAAATAGGAGGTCATCTCCTAATTCCTGAAAGATTCGCAGGAAGAGCATCACTACCCTTTACGTACAACTTCGAGCATAATCTGTTTCTGCTTCACCAAATGAGGATTTGAGAAGTCCTTCAACCTCTGAGAAATTAATTGCAACAAAAATGAAGTCCAATGTACTATGCAAAAATAGAATGATTGATATAGGTGCTGCTACAAGTACAAGGCTGAATCACATGGCAAACTCAATCACAAAGCTAATACCCCGTGCTTAGAGAGCAAGAAAATAGCTATCATATCCATAGGTTGTAGCTATCAGTCCTATGGACTGATCAAGACCATTGCCATAATCAAACCACAGGACTGAAGGTGTGTCAATTTCAGACCATTTGCAATTTTAGCCATTCAGCTAAAACTGAACTTTTCAATCCTGCCAGCATAATAATCACAACAGGGATACAGAATCCAGTGCTCTGTTGTTGGCAACCTAGTTCAATTAGAAAACGGAATCACACCTAAAACTGGAATGTTCACTGTGCACAACTAAAGCTGAACACGACTCAGGCCAGCGGCATTGCTCCAACTCCAGCATTACCACCACACTAATCACGCCTACTCCCTACCACGATCGACAAAAACCGCAAGATTAACGGCGCAATTCCTCCCTGACGCGACACAGATCTACCAATCGCCGCCGGACGCCCGAGGAGCAAGCACCGCACCAATCGGCAACAAATCTTAACGGAGACAGGCGCACGGCCACCAGCCAGCACAGGCGGCAAGCAGAGACCGACGGGGGGAGGGAGACGCACCTGACATCCGCATGCAGAAGGCGTCCCACCAGTCGCCAGGTGGCTCGCCCGAGGCGGCAGCCGCCATTGCGGCCGCGGCCGCCTTCTTCTCCAACGCCGCCTTCCGCCGGCGCTTGGCCCCCCGCAGCGGCGGCATGGCGCTGGCTGGTGAGGAATCGGGAGGAGCGACCCAGAGGCACGCAGGTACGGGATGAATCAGGAAGCCGGGACGGCGGGCATGGACGGCGTGGCACGGACGCGGTGGCGTGGGGGACCCGGCGGCAGGCGGCGGAGGATGCAGCGCATGAGGAGTGCCGCTGGGAGGATAGACGTCGGCGCAAGTTCCTGCGCTGCGGATTGGGATGTTTGAGAGGGGAGGGGAAGTGAGAAGCGGCGGAGAGGGGGAGGAGGTGGAAGCACGGCGAGGTGGGCAGGGCGGAGAGGGAGAAGGGAGGAGCCTCTTTCTTGGTTGAGTTGGGGAAGGATGGAATGGAGGTGTATTTACTATCTGTGCCTGTATACACGTAGAAAGTGTGTGTATCGTGGCCGTATATGTACAAAAGTGGAATGACAACGTGCGTGATTCAGGTGTTTTTTTGTGTGTACTGCTACAGTGTTACTGAGTACAATTAGTTTCATATGTAGATATACGAATGGTTACATATACATGTGTTCATTCATGGGGCGGAGCGGTTTTATAAGACCGGTAATTGTTATACATATCGAGATAGTTTTCCCGTTCACTTCGCTGAAAAAACAAGCCGAAACACTGTTTCGGCTGATCTGTTGTGAGGGAAAAATACTATTTCGACTGAAAAAACAAGCTGAAAAAAACGGATTATAAGAGAAACAAACAGGGCCAGTTTTTCATCCTCGCCAGCACCACGTGACGTGAGGTAGGTTGAAAAAACATAGGTGGAAAACTACTTATAACGTATTGTTATTGTTATGGAAGTGTGTTTATTCATCGAAGATGTCAAAAGGAGTCAAAAGGATGGAACAATTTTATGTAACTAGTAACGGTTATACATGTTGGGAATGTTTTTCACTTTCGTAAAGCACCACGTGACGTGAGGTAGGTTCAAAAAATGTGGGTGAAAAAAATACATAACACAGTATTTATGTAAGTGTGCTTATTCATCGGATAAATCAAAAGATGCTAAAATGTCAGAACGGTTTTATAAGACTAGAAACTATTATACATTTTAGGAATGTTTTCCACTCTCGCAAGCACCACGTGACATGAGGTAGGTCAAAAAGATGTGGGTCACATAACAAAATATTATAATTAGCACCTAAGACATATTTTAAAAGGAACAACCTTAGATATAGGAGTATATAACAAGTGTGGGTTGCAAAATGCACATAAAGTGATAATATAATTATCTCCTCAGATATAACTAGTCTGATTTAATTGGCTTCCACTAAAAAAATGCTTGATTTGATCCTTAAAGTATTTGTACTTTCTTTTCTTGAGTGTTTTTAGACTGTTGGAGATGGAAGTAGGGTGGCATGAAGGCAAATTTGGGCAGAGCATTCAAGTGGGGAAGGGATGCAGTGGACTGGGTCAACGCCGCCACCCTTCCTGTCCCTTTCATGAGAAATGTTCAGCTTGGAGGTGTCGCCATTAGTCTATCATTACAAGTACTTATCCAAATCTTTTCAACAAGTCATGTTACCTGTAATGTACAGTAATACTAAATTCAAATCTGTCTGAGTTCAGCATGAATGTGTCCATCAGCTGTGCATCTTCGATTTTGGGGATTCTTGATTGAGAACTTGAGTCAGTTCGGTTTTGGGTATGAAAGGGAAAATATATAGTTTTAGTAGTATCCATGATTCCAAATTACATGAATATCCTTTTGACCATCTTGTCTTGTCATGAGATGTTGCAGCCAAAGCTACTTCCAGGCTACCACTAGGCAGGGACGACGCAGATCTGTTCGGCTGGTATTAAAGTTGGCTGATAAGTCGGCTGAAGCTATTTTGTTGTGAGAGAAAAATACTGTAGATTATAGCTGATAAGCCGGCTGATAAGTTTAAGCGATGCAATGGACTTGTTAGGATTGTAAAGGAGACGCTGCTGCTTCCTGGGCCCAAAGAAGCTATGATAGGCCTTTGCAAGCACGGCCTCTGCTGGAAAGCCCATCAGGCTCGTTGTGTCTGTAAATCAATTTTTCTAGAGGTAGGCCTTTTCCCACCTAGGAAATAAATGGATTCCTTCTAAAGATAATAAACAAAATAAATTAATGAATGAATGAAAAATAAAAAAAGGAGCAAATCGGCGCGGCGTGCCTATCTCCCAAAATGAGTCTGGTAAGCAACACCTTTTTGTTTTGCAAGTCTTGTTCAAGAGAACAAGGAGCAGTAATTCAAAGTTTGCCGAGAGCTGGATGCAATTATTTGGTTTCATTTGCATGGACAAATGACACTAGAATTGAGTTTCATTTGCACTACTTCATGTGTGTTTTGCTATATTTTTGTAATATAATTGGTCTGATTTTCTTGTTTGCCAAGAAATAAAGCCAAATGTTTTTTTTTCATGACGATCACCTAGACATATTTGCTATTTTAAATCTGCATACTTTTGCTATTTTTGCAAAAAAAGAGAGGCTAAACTTATTTTCAAAATAAATATGTAAAAAGATATTGTAATCGCTCTGCAAGCCTAACTGTTCACCGATGCTCGCGTTGCTGCTCTTGTGTGGCCGTGTGCTATATATTATTCCTTTTAGTAAATGATCTCTGTTTTCTTTTTCGGCCCAGTTGGTTAAAGTTGGGTTTGTCTGCTTTAGTGACATTGTTTTCTATTTTAGCCCATCTAGACGTTTGGATTGGGCCTAAGTTTTCTGTTGTCTTTGGGCTACTGGATTCCTGCGTGTGTCCAGCTTTCTAGCTACATTGGAGTGCATGTCTTCTCCTTTTCTTATATATAAACACAAATTGTGGCACCTTCGTGTAATTGTGTCCAGTTTAGCCACTTTTAATTATTTCTCCTTCTCACATCTACGTACGAGTCCATGCCAATTGCCACAAGGAGTCAAAGAGGTAACATACATGTCATCCTTAATTTCCAGACGTACCAATTAATGTACGTATAGAATGCTAGTCTCCGTTCACTTTTTTCACTTTTGCAGTTTGCTTGATCGAGCCTATCCAGAAGGTTGACTTTCTGAAGAAGAAAAAAAATCGATCAATAGATTGTTTGGTTAAAAAATTGATTCATGACATGCCCGTTGTTCCCAAATGGAGAATTAATGACTTAGTCATATAGTCATATGAATAGCATCTGCATGCCTTGGTTGGGTAGAGATTGTCCTGGATTAAATAGGTGGCTATATATTGTGTGCAAAAGTTGTGAGGTTAAAAAAAATGTGGAAGGTAAATTGTACGCCTCACGGCTGTGGCATGGGGATTTGTCTCTCAAGCGGTTTTGCCGCTTCAAATTGTAATTGTAAGAAGCTACAATAATCTACCAAGTCTTAGACTCTTGCCATGGTCTATGTTTGCCACCCATATATGCGTCAAACTCTTGTCGTGGGTCTACTATCACTACTGGATTCAGGCGCTTTGCCGGGTGCCGAATGCACCCGGCAAAGGCTACTTTGCACTCGGCAAAGCCTTTGCCGGGTGCTTTTTATCGGGCACCCGGCAAAGACTTTGCCGAGTGCAAACCCGGCACCCGGCAAAGAAAAGTGGTCGTTACGGCGCCGGCTCCGTCATCCCTTGCTTTGCCGGGTGCCATATCAGAGGCACCCGGCAAAGATTTTTTTAATTTTTTTTTTCAAATTTTTTTTTGCGGGTGCCGTGTCGGGAGGCACCTGCAAATATGTTTTTATTTTTTATAATTTCTTTGCCGGGTGTCTCACCGAGGGGGCACCCAAGAAAGAGTTTTTTATTTTTTTCAGTAATTTTTTTTGCGGGTGCTAGGTCATGGGGCACCCGGCAAAGATTTTTTTGAAAAACTTTTTTGCGGGTGCCTGGACTGGCACTCGGCAAAGCCGGGAATTCCTTTCAGATTCTACTTTGCCGAAAGTGCCGTGGTCGTGGCACCCGCAAAGCCTCAAAATTAATTTTTTTATTTTGTTTTTGATTCTATAATCACAAACACAACATATAAAAGATATGTATCACATCTGAAGCATCACAAAGACAATATAGCACATATATATCACATCCATCTCATCACAAACTCAATCCACACATATATATCACATCATGAATACAATACCTCACATACACGACATCACAAACATAATAGGTCCAATTACCATCGTAATAAGTCGATAGTGGATCACGATTGCATCACATGTCCATCAAGCGGTGAAAAGAGATACAAACTAAAGGTGGGGAGGAAACCGAATGCTCGGTGAAGGAAACTCGACACCACCTTCGCCTTGCCGAGATGGGTCATTTGAACTCGCCGACGGAGGTCGCATAAAGGACAAGAGATTCAGCGCTTAGAGTGGGTCATCTAATGAAAGCACTAGTCGAAGCAATATGGATTCATACTCTTTGGACTAGCTACAACCGGGCGGCGGCGACTGGAACATCGTAATCTCCGCCACCGCTTATTCGTCTCTCCCGCTTCGCCCGCTTCGGCTTGTCTTTCTCGCCGCCACCTCGGTCCTCGCCGCCAGTCAGTCCAGCTCCTGAGCCATCCTCTCGTTATCGGCCCGCAACATTTCAATCGAATGTTTTAGTAATGTAAAGGTAACTAAGTTATGTAAAGATCAATGTATGAAGAGTTAAACCGACTAACTCCGGAGGCGTCGACCACCGGGGCTTTGTGAAGGGGATGGCCGTTGGCGTATGGCCGGGCCTCCTCTCGGGGTACTTGCTCGGATCCGGGAGAGGAAGGAACAGAGCGGACTCGAGGGTGCCATCGCCAAGCCCAAGATCGCCCATGCTTCTTGCCCTGTCCGATCCTCATGACAATCGTGCCATCAATGCCGTCGGTGCTCGGATCCGGCCCGCCTCGACCGACTTTTGCGTCCGACGCGAGGAGCTGATCGCGGTGTGGCCTTTCGGGTTGTCAGATGACTCGGGTGGGTCATCCGGGCTGAAGGTGACAATGAAGTCGTCTTTCCTTGCGGTCCAGTCCATACGCCATGAACGTGGACAAAGGTCGCCACCATGCGATGCCGATCGCGAGAA